CAATCAGGCAGGCAGGCAGGTGAGTGGTTAGGAGCCAGCAGTCCCAGATTGCGAGAGGGATGTCCGACATCCCCCAAGGGGTCCCCGATTGGAGAGGGTGCAGGCCGGGCTGAGGGACCCTCCCCCCCACGAATTTTGTGTACTGGGCCACTAGTAGGGAATAAATGTTTAAGAGCGTGAAACAGTGACCTCTAAAGATTTTTTACAACCCTATGATTACATGAATTTTTACTTTCATACAGAAACTCCAACTTACTGTACTCTGTTCAACATCTTTCCTCAGTCTTTCACATATGATTTGAGCCAAATCAGACCCTCCAATATCCTCATGGCTGTAATAATCTACTTAATGACAGTGCCTCCTGAATCCCTTGATTCTGCTATTATCCAGGTTACATCACCCCCCACCCCCACACTTCAGCCTGCCAGAGCTTGGCATTATTTCCTATTTAAATCCACCTTTTAATGGGATGTTATTTCAATTCTTTCAAGTCTACTACCATTGCTAAAGTTCGATATATAAATTCAGAGAAAGGAGGTATCTACTCCAGCTTGTAAAATTGATAGTTACCCTAGATTTACGGGGGAGATCACGTATTTCATAAGTTATATAAATATCTAATCACTATATTTTATAACCAAACTAATATAATATTGTATAGCAACTGTAATTTAAAAAATTAAAAATTTCTAACTACCCTAAAGAGAGGTTTTAGACTCACTTTCTGAAGGACATATAGCAAACATTTATTTAACTCTTTTGCACATTACCTGTCTTATTAGCTCATTTAGTCCTCAAAAACTCTATGATGCAGATCCTACTGTACTCTGTTGAGGAAACTAAGGCTGTAAGAGATAATGCAACTTGCACAAAGTCATACAACCACTAAATTTTTGAAACTACACCACTCTGCAACTGTGGCCCTTATTTCTCTGAATTTTGAACAAAACCAATTGCTTTAGCTATTTATCAGTTTACTTTTTGTTGTTGTTGTTTGTTTTACCTCTATAGGCAGCTGCTAAAAACACCAGTAAAATCAACACAAAGAAAAGGGCAGGAAGCAATAGGTTTTAACTAAGTGCTATAAATTCCCCTCGTTTCTGGGAATATTCCCCTCATTCAAGGTCCCAGCGACAGGGCAGGGGCTAGAGCAAGGCAAGTGAGGCACTCACTTCAGGCATAAAATTTAAGGAAGCATTAAAAAACTCAGTATTCAAAATAAAAATATTTAATACAATACTTTCAAAAATAAAAATCAATGCAAGAACAATCCTTGATGAACGTCAAGAAAAAAGGCCAGATCAGACTCTGTACTTGTACAACCTTGCCTCACTCTAATTCCTTTACTTACAAAAAAAATTTTTCCCTCCCAAAACAGATGACCAGCCAGAGGGCTGGCTGTACTTTGTCCATCTGATTTTTTAAAATATTTCATTAAAATATTATTTATCTTGATCACTGAATTTTTGGTGTTTCCTTAAATTTTGCACCCCTGGCAAATGCCTCACTTGCCTCACTGTAGTTCCAGCCCTAACCAGTGACCAAATATAATTTTTTTTTTTTTTACCTGTCACACCACCGATTGAAGCAAAGCAACACAACACGCTGCTGCCTCACCCAAAAGCGGTGTTTTTCCTTTGCCCTTTCTTGACGGCTCAGTGGGTCATCAGCAAAACCAAATATAATTTTTAAGTCATTTTAATGCCCCAAAATATTTCGGACCTTATGTTGGAGGTAGGTGTAGGTGGCAAGCAGCAGGGACTATGGAATCACAGGGACTATGGAATCACAGGGACTATGGAATCACAGGGACTATGTTTTAGAAGAATAAAGCCTGTTGATACTTATCATCAAACTAGAAGCCCAGCGTGACAAATCATAGAGTCCCGTCCACCCGCCCCGCCCACCCGCTCCAGTCTGTCTTTGGTCGTTATAGCGTTAGGGCCACAGGCCTTTTATAATATAGTTTGTTAAAAACACCTTAAAAAACAAACAAACAAGAAAATGTCTTAGGTACTATTCGTGGTCATCCCCCCTCAGAGGTAAGGGGGCAGGGAGATAGGTAACTTCTTCAACCTCATAAAAGACATCCACAAAAACCCCATAGTTAAAATGTTGATTAATGGTGAAAGACTGAAAGTTTCCCTGCTAAGATCAGAAACAAGTCAAGGATATCTCCTATTTAACAATTCACTAGAAATTCTAGCCAGGGCAATTAGTCAAGGAGAAAAAAAAAAGGCAACCGGATGTAAAAGCAAGAAGTAAAACTCTATTCTTAGATGCCATGAACTTGCATGCAGAAAACCCTAAGTATACACACACACTAATAAACAAGTTCAGAAAGATTACATAATCAAAAAGTATGTGGTACTGCAAGCCTGTGGATGGACCCTCACTGCAAGATTTGTGGTAGCTCTTTGAATTTGAGAGAAGCAGAGAATCTGTCCATCACATCAAGAACATAAGGTTTTATTCGCCAGGAATGCCAACAGCAAAGAGTAGAATGGGTTCTTCTAAGAGCTATGAAAGACTCTTGGATAAGCTACCATGTGTCGCTCTTGAAGCTCCCTCCCTACAATGACTGTCCTCCAGTACTGGTGCTGAGATCTTCATGTTCGACCCTCTCCCTGAGCCAGTGCTGATCCCCGCCGTGTGCCCCAGTGCCTCCCAGCCTTACAGTCCTCTACCCACAAGTGGTCCGGCGCCAGCTGCTTGCCGAGGATCTGCATCCTGCCAAAAGGCTCCTCTTTCTCCCGCTCACCATCGTCTTCTGCCAGACCTGAGGCTGAAGAAACAGGGCGCCCTGGCCCCAGAGGATGCCCCCAGCGCTGTGTCACCCATGTTCATTCCCGCACCCGCAGCCCTCAAGCCCCTTAATCTGACAGCAGAGCCCTCGAACAACGCTCTGGATCGCGGAACTTTTCTTCAGAAACACCCGGCTGCCTTCTAATCGTGACTCCCCACAGCCCCCAACAAGAATCTGAAATAAACACTAGGTGTATCTGGTGTGCAAGAGCGCATCCCAAACTGGGATTCAGGAGGCAACTCTCAACACTACCGGGGAACCGCCAGCCCGAGCCTGGATGGGACAAGTGCAGACATGCCAGGCCAGGCCTATGGGGGAAGGAGAGCGGCGTTAATTTATGTCTCATTGCTCCTAATTAATATTTACATGTATTTATGTATGCCCCCTAGGTGATAGGGGGGTATGTAATATTTATATAACTTATGCAAAGGTGCGAGACATTCTCGATGCTGCACATGGGGGTCTATTTATGGAGCTTGGTGGGGTTGGTGGAGGTGCCTAGAACCCAGGGAGGTGGGAGGGAATGGAGAGGAGGGCGCCTAGGCTGGATGTCAAGGACGGTGGTGGGTCATAGGTTTAGGGGGTGACACCCTCCGTCCTCCAGTATCTTAACTCCCTGGGTCTACTCTTGAAGACTCTGGAGGACCGTTGGGAATGAGCTCCTTTGTGGGAAACCGCCTATTGACTTCTCTAGCAGCGAGGTGTGGACAAGGAGCCCAGAATGCTGGTGGCCCTTGAAGCCCTGGCAAAGGTCAGGGCTATGCACCCACTGTTTAGTCCAGACAATGGTAGCTGAAGCAACTTCCCCATCTATTATCATGTAAATACTTGCTGATAAGATAGTCTGCCTGTTACTGGAACTTGCCTGCCTAAGGGCTATGGGTGGATCCCAAACTGAATAAAAAGATGGCGAGGCCTGAGCACAAGCATAGTCCATCCTCTTGGGATGGGCTCTCGCCTGGCCCCCAATTTCCAAATTATCTCTTGTCTTGTCTCCTTCATTTGTGGCCAGCCCAGCTTCCATACCCTGAACCCTGATCCACGCGGGACATGGGGGGAAACAAATATACACTTTACACACTCCTTGGCCTTCTATCTCCTCAAAGTTGCCCCCAAGGGATGTTTATGGGTTGAGAGGTGGGGGCTGTCAGAGGGCGGCTGTGGGGGTCACGCGGTATGTTTTGTGTTCAAATAAACTTGATTTGCTGTCAGAAAAAAGTCATAACTGACTAGGTAGTGGATGCACAGAAGAGACTGCTTTTAGAAAGAGCTGGAAAGAAGTGGGCGAGTCTTTGTGTGTGAGTCAAATTCCTGATTGGAGACCTGGGAAGCGGAATACACCAGGCTCCACCCCTTGGGCCTTAGCAACCGAAGGGAGAGACTGTGATTGGCCGATGAGTCCGGTAAAGGCCCCAGCAAGCCCCCAGAGGGCACCATGTGGTGCACAGCCTGCTCAGTGGGTGGTGCAGTTAAATCCTGAGGAGGAGATGACTTTGCTTTCCAAAAGCACCCACAGACCCTAAGAATTTGGGGAAGATGTCTTTTCTAGATATGTCTCTAGGCAGGGAGGTTCAGATCCCAACTGAGAGCAGCCCTCCTGTCAGGCAGCCTGTTGTATTTAAGTCATTGTTTAGCACCAGAGATCTTAAGATTAATAAATAAATCTTTTTCTCAAGGCATATACAGTTGCCTGGAAACAATAAATAGATGCAAAATATAGGTGCTATAATTCAGTCTGTCAACAAATACTGAGTTCCTTAAATCTTAGGCTCTGGCATCTACAAAATATATATGAGATGTAAAGGAGAAGACTCACCTAAGGTATCAAGAAAAATTCATTTAAGAATTGAAAAATTAGGGAACATTTGTAAAGAAGCAGCACTATAAAAAACACCACCACCACACTCTGGAAAGTTCAAGCCATTCCATGTGATGGGATACTGAAAGATGAGACTGAAGAGATCAACAAAGAGATTAAATTATGGAGGGACTCCTATATTATGAGAATGATTTGAAGAATTTTTTTCTATCAGATTTATTGAGTTATACAGTGAGAAGGGAAGAGGATCAAAGACAGAAATCAAGGACATTACAAAGGAAAATATCAGAGGATATGGGAAAAACCAGGAAAGAAGTATCCAGGAAAAAAGGGGAGAAGTACAAGAGGAACCTAGTGGTCCACTGTGTCAAGTGTTGCTGGAAGGTCAAATTAGCTAAGAACTTAAGAATTCATTAAATTTAGTAATTAATAGGGTTTTTTAAACTTCAACAGAGTTTTACCTAACAAGCCCTACGTTGAGGATTGATCAATTAATTAATTTTTATATAACAAACACATATAGCATTTACTATCTGCCAGGAGCTGCTCTAAGAGTTTTACAAATATCCATTCATTTAATCCTCACAATAACCCATAAAGTAAGAACTAGTTCTACCTCTTTTTTACAGGTAAGGAAATGAAGGCACAGAGGCATTTAAAAAATTGCGAAAAGGACACATAGCTAGCAAAATTGTGAAGCTACATTCAAACCCAGGCAGTCTGACCCTAGAATTCTTCTTTTAACTACTACTTACTCAAGGTAGAACAGAATGGTGTTTTTTTAAGGGCAATGATTTAATGAAATATGCTTATAAGCTATGAGAAAGGAGCTAGGGAAAAAGAGGCAATAAAAATAAAGGAATGATAGTGGAAAATAAATCAATGGATATATTTCTTAACCCAGAGGCAAAAGAAAGGATGGAATTAAGAGTGCAATTGGAAGAACTCTTGTTGAATGAGAAAAAAATAAATGTATAACAAAGGTGGAATCTTAATAAATGAAAATTTTCCTATGTATTACACAAGCTTTCCCAGGCCTCACCTTCAGCCTGTGGGTATTACTAGGAATACCCACATAACAATAACTCAAGTTTCAATGGTTTCTATTTCCACATGTTTTTGAATTATATCCAACCACCTCAAATATGTTTCCCTTAATATTTCCTGGGGGTGAGGGGATCTTTCATAAATGTAATAACAAACAACCCAGTTAGCTGCCATGTATAATCTGGTATTTCTTTTCTTTTCTCTTCCTCTGGACTCCTTTTCTTGGTACCATCATGTTTTCCAGGATCCATCATCTGCTACAAACAAGGAATTGGAAGCCTTAAGAAGTAAAAACTGCATGCTAAATAAAGAACTTCTGTCCTCCTTCTGTGTCACATCTATTAAAGGGAAACTTAACTGATACTTCTAGAACCCCAATGTCTTAAAGAGTTTCCCTGAAACATTTTGTTCTCGGGTTTTTGTTGGTGGTTGTAGTAGCTGGTTTTTGTTTGTTTGTTTTGTTTTTAATTTTCACTCCCCCCTCTCCCTTGGTTTCAGAATTGAGTCTAGTAGAAATTGGGCCAGAAGACAACTTTGAGAGGAGAAAGAACTCTCATAAAATTACTTTGCATGAAATTGCTTCTCTTCTCTGACAAATACTATTTTGTTATTTAATGAGTCTGATCTTGCATAACTTTTTCTAAGGAAGAGTTCTCTGACTTCATCCAGATAGGCTTAGGTTAAAACAGAGTCCCCTGCTATATAGGGATTAATGTACAGTTAAGAATGTTGTTTCTCCAAATCAACTGTAGAAAAATTGGGTATTTTTTAGTCAAGGAGCTTTTGGTTGGAAATAACTCTAACCAGCTTAAACAAAAAGGATTTATTAGAAGAATCCAGTGGAGGTCAACAGCATGAAGTATAGTTTATCCTCCCAAAAGACTGAAACTCGTTCTTTTATTTGAAATACTAGCAGTGTTTGGTGCAGTTGATCACTCTTTCCTCCTTGAAATGCTTTTTTTCACTTGACTCCTAGGACACCATGCTTTCCTGGGTTTCCTTCTATCCTACTAACTACTCTAATTAAATTTTCTTTTACTGGCCCCTCCCCATCTCCCTGACCTCTAATCCACTGGTGCTCAAACTTTAGCATACATCAGAGTGAACCTGGAAGACTTATTTAAACACCATTTGCTGGGCTCCACCCCCAGAGTTGCTGATTCGGTAGGTCAGGAATAGGGAAGGAAAATGAACATTTCTAAGAAGTTCTGATGTGATGCTAATGTTCCTGGACCACCCTTTGAGAGCCACTGCTTTAAACGTGAGAGCCAGAGCCCAGTCCTTAGATAATTTCTCTATTTATATATACTGCTTCGGGGACCACATCCAGTCGCATGGTTTTCATAAGTAACTATGTACTCATGGGTCAAAGATGGAGTGTATATACAACAGTGGTATGCCATATAGCCTAAGTGTGTGGTAGGCTATGCCATTTAGGTTTGTGATGTTCCCACAGTGAAGAAATAGACTAAGGATGCATTTCTCAGAATGTTTCCCTGTCATTAATCGGCACGTGACTGAACACTGATGACTTCCAAATTTTAATCTCTAGCTCAGAACTCTCCACTGGAAGTTTGTATAAGTGACTATCTACTTGACATCTCTACTGCAATATACAATGGTCACCACAAACTTAATTTTTTTTTAAATTTAATTTTGTTTTATTTCTTAAAGTATTACAAAGAGTATTACACATGTCTCCTTCCCCCCTCCCTTGACATTCCACTGTAGTTTGACAGTCTGTTCAGTGCTTCTCTGCCTTTGTATCTATTTTTGTTCATCAGTTTATAATGGTCTTTATTATCCATAAATGAGTGAGATCATGTGGTATTTTTCTCGGCTTCCCAGGGGCCGTCCCAACCTCACAGGGGCCATCTCAACCTCACCGGGGCCGTTTCAACCTCACAGGGGCCATTTCAGGCTCACCAGGGCCGTTTCAACCTCACAGGGGCCGTCTCAGCCTCACGGGGGCAGTCTCAGCCTCACGGGGGCCGGCTCAGCCTCACGAGGGCCGTCTCAGCAACACGAAGACAAACTTAATTTTTCAAGTCCAAATTCTTATCTCACAAAACCTGCTTCCCCCATGTTCTGCTCCATTTAGGTAAATGGAACTCCGTTCTTCTATTTGCTCAAGCCAGAAGTTAAGTCATGCTTGACTCTTTTTTTTTTTCCTATCACACCCTATATCCACTCCATCTGCAAATTCTGTGAGCTCTACCTTCAAAATATATCCAGAATCTCACCAACCTCCATTCTACCATCTTAATTCATGCCATCATCATTTCTTGCCTGGATTATTGAAATAGCTTTCTAACTGATCTACTTCTGTCCTGGCTCATTATGTCTATTCTCTACACAAAAGCTAAAAAGGAACTTTTAAAACATCAGTGAGCTTCCCAGCAAATACTGGTAAAGCACCTTCCCATTTTTGTGAAAGTCCCACCAATATAGTCTTATTGGAAGGCAGAGCCCGTCTCTCATTATTGATAAAAACTACAAAAACATATGACTTAGACTTAGCCTACATGGAATCTGGCATTAGTACAACACAGAAGCAGAAATAGTGTGGAATTCATTCTAGCCACAATAGCCAGTCTCTAGGGCAGAAATGGCAGTGGTTCAAATTAAAATATCAGTGTATACCAGTAATGTCCTCATCAGATTAATTTTGAGGTGTGATTTTAGTTGCAATTCTGAATTTCTAGCCTTTCTTGGTTCGTGCACTTTTTTTGAGCCTGGTTCTCCAGAGCCCCTGTCTATTTCTATTCTTTATTGTTATTATTTTTAATATATATTTTTATTGATTTCAGAGAGGAAGGGAGAGGGAGAGACAGATAAAAACATCAATGATGAGAGAGAATCATTGATTGGCTACCTCCTGCATGCCCCTTGCTGGGGATGGAGCCCACAACTCCTGCATGTGCCTTGACTGGGAATGCAATCATGACCTCCTGGTTTCTGGATCAATGTTCAACTACTGAACCACACTGGCAGTGCTAAAAAAAATCTTTACATGCATGGTTTTAAAAGTCTGCTTAATATTGTTGATACTTACCCTAAGGAATACACCCATAATTTTGTGATTATCACTACAGCTCTGGCAGTTGACATTTTTGGGGGGAATTTTACTTAGATTTTTAGAAAACATTTATGATAGGTTTTTTGCTTACCATTCGTTGATAGGCTCATGTGATTTTTCTTCTTTAGCCTGTTGTGGTGGATTACATTAATCGATTTTTAAATCACTTGCTTTAATAAAAGACAATTCAAACATCTTCTTTCCTTGCAAGAGAAAATACAGATTATGATCTTGTAGACAAATTTTCCCTTTTTTCCTTCTAGGTTCTTTGGCAGGTCAAACAATTAAAATGACATAAGACAGATTAACAGGAGAAAAAGAAATTTAATTACTTACATATGGGAGCCCTATAGAGATATGAAAACTCAGAAGGCAGCCAGATAATTGAGGCTTACATAATACCCTGAGGTGAAGAAGGGGGTAGGGGCCTGGGCATACAAAGAGGAGGAAGACCATTCGCAGAAAAGCAAAGGATATGTTTGGAAAACAAAAATTGTCCTGCTATGCAGATAAATTTTTAGGTAAATAGGTCTCTGGTAATTGCTCTCTTCCTGGTATAGAGCCCTTATCTAATGTAAATTTAGGCAACTGAGAAGGAGGTAAAAGCTTTTCTTGAATCTGCTAGATTTTGAGTGCCTTTAGCTGAAAAGTGGCATATTTTGGGGAGATTTGCTCTGAACCCATTGAGTTCCTTTTCCTGAAACTTCCCTGGAAGTTTCACATATTAAGAGGTGAGATGACGGCTGTGGAGAGAAGAATTTGGTTAGTAGCTGAGTAGTAAGAGGTCTGCAAGGGGAGAAATGACCATTGATTAGAATGAGGATGAACAAACAGAAACATGCAAATCGAATCACATTTCCCCAAACCCCTTTAAACCAGTCTCTCTCTTTTAAAAAAAAATTTTTATTAATTTCAGAGAGGAAGGGAGAGAGAGAGAGAGAGAGTGAGAGATAGAAACATCAATGAGAGAGAATCATTGATCGGCTGCCCCCTACACGCCCCCTACTGGGGATTGAGCCCACAACCTGGGCATGTGCCCTGACCGGGAATCAAACCAGTGACCTCCTGGTTCATAGGCCAATGCTCAACCACTGAGCCATGCCAGCCAGGCTTAAACCAGTCTCTCAATCCTGGGAATAGGTTGGTCCAATAAAATGGCTGAGCTTCATTTATCTGATGGAAAATGTTAATCATCTCTTTTAGCAGATGTAAAGAAGATACTATTTGTCTTGTTTGACTTACATAGAAACAGCATATTTCACCAATGATTGCACAAGCTCTTCCTTGTTGAGCAGTCAACGTGCCCATAGCATGTCGATTTTGTAGTACCACAGAGGCTAAGCTGTGAACTTCTGTTTGGATGATTTGCAAAGTTTGCATAATGGTACTGATCTCTTGTTCTATTACCATGGAGAGATTTAAGATTGCCTTTTCCAAGTCATAAGTTCCAAAACTCAGGAATAAGGTCCTCAACACTGAAAACTCAGAGTGTGATACACAAGCAGGTTCTAGACTGGCATGGTTATGTGACACAACTTTATGAACAAAGGAGCACAAGTTTGTAATTTGGCTAGCATTTAAGCTAGACAGAGTATCTGGTGACAGAAGGAGCCAGGTAGCCAAATCCACACCATCCTGACCATTTAAGTGTGAACCCTTTATATACATTGTCACCACATAAGATAATAAGACCAGTGTGGGTCACAGACAAGGTTACAGTGGAACCTGTAATTACCTGGGTTAGGTGCATTCCATGACTTTTGCCGCTGGTAATGGTAACATCTTTACACCTCTAATTTTCATGAGCTCTTGTCAATCTGTAAGAGCAGAACAGATTATAAAATAACTGACATAGGAGGCCGGTGGTCTGGCTCTGGCACCTATAAAGCTTGGTTTTGTCACCTGATCAAGTTAGTCCATATTTTTGGTCTACCCATATACAGTTTGTGGCATTGGGCAGCTTAATCAGAAGAGCAGCTGAGACACCCAGGGAAAGCCCAATGTCATGCGTGTTTTCAATGCAAAGGGGGAAATTTCCACCTAGTGTCTTTATCTGGGTGAGTGATAGTCCTTGAGCTTCCATAGAGGTCTGCCCAGGCTCAAACAACTCACCAGAAGGAGAGGCAGAGTGGTGTTTTTCTGGTCTTGCAAAGCATTCTCTGTCATTCTTCCATCTTCTATAGTTAATTCAAGAGGTGCTCACATGAGCAGGAAAGAAAACTAGATCAGGTTTTGTTATTTTGTGCTATCTAGATGCTGACATAAAACAACAATCAGATTGATGAGCTAACATAGCCAAGATTTGGAAAACTGGCATAAGGCGGTGTTTGGTCTGCACCCAACCTGTTGAAAAATAGCAAGGATTAATACCAGCAAGACACAGGTTGAAAGAGAGTTCATAGTGGAAGATCACGATGGGCAAGTAGAATAGAGATAAGCACTAGTCAGTCAGCCTGATAATAAATGACCAACTTAATTGGGGGTGGTGGGATAGGTGGAAACAAGTATCTTGATCTGTGACCTTAGAAATAGCTGTCTATTTTGTGATGTTGTCTACTTCCGGGGCCGGGGAAATGGCCCTGGAAATCCTTATTTCAAGGTCGTCTGTAAGATTGTATCCCATTGTCTTGAGAGCAGTGATCTGGGTCTACTTTGGCCTGGCTTGTATGAACCCAGGAGGATTTTTGTTTTATTTTGATGGCAGTGTAGGTAGTTAGCAGTACTTCATAAGGTCCCTTCAAGCAAGGTGACATCATATGTTTTCTTCTAAAGACCTTGATGTCTCCTGGTCAAAAGGGATGGCAAGGCTTGTCAGTCAGTGAGGGTTATGCCTCTTTGACCTGTTGGTGACATACTTCAAGTATACCTGTTAGTTTTTGTACATAGTCAGAGCATCAAACTAGTCACTTCCCATAATGCTCACTCTACCCAATAATGCAAGGGTTAGAGATGCCAGCAGGCATTGGGTGACCAAACACTATTTCAAAAACGCATTCTGGATCTTTATAAGGGCCAATGGAATGCTTCTGGCTATTTAAGTCCAGTTTCTTGACAGATTTTCTTTTATTTATTGATTGATTTTAGAGAGATGAAGGAAGAGAGAAAGATTGATTTGTTGTCCCACTTATTTATGAATTCATTGGTTGCTTCTTACATGTGCGCTGACAAAGTATCGAACCCGCAACTTTGGCATATCCAGACGATGCTCTAACCAACCTAGCTATCCAGTCAGGGCAGATTTTTCTTAAAGTCATTTTTTTATGTCTAGATTTTCATGTTCCACTTGTCCTGATTATTGAGGATGGTGTGGGGTCTGAAATTTTAATGAGTACCCCAGAGTCTTTGCAAGAAAGTGATTTATCTCTGCTATAAAATGAGTTCCTTGGTCTGAGTCAATGTATGAAGAATGCCAAAATGATGAATAATGTCAGTCATTATTTCTTTTCCACTGTTGTGGCATTGGTTGTTGTAGTTGAATAGCATTCAGTCCATCCACTAAACTTGCAGACAATAACCAAATAGTGAGAATAGCCTAAAGCTAGGGGCAAGTCTATAAAATCCATTTTGGAGAGCCACAAAGGGCAGTGTGGGCCTAGGAGGACTTCCTGAGGCATACTGATTTCTTCTGAAAATTTGATGAGATTTACAAGTGGTGTACTGGGAAATAATTTGGTCAGAAATTTTGTGGACACAACCAATTGCCTTTTAGTTACTTACCTATCCCCTGTTGGCACATGTACCATTTGATGGGAGATAAGTGCAAGCCAAAGGTCAAAAAAAAAGGGGCTACAGGAAGTCCATTTAGCTCAATGTATAATCCATCTGATAATTGTTTGCATCCTTTGTTTCCATTTGTCTTTTCCAGATAGGGGGACATTTGCCTGATCATTAATAATATCAGTCAGGGATAAAGGCAGGTTTAGAAATTGTGCAAAGAAAAGATAAGGGTGTCTATTTTGAGCTGCATATTTAGCAGCCTCGTTGGCCTTATCATTACCTAAAGACATAGTATAAGTCTCTTTAGAATGGGCTGGGGAGTAAACAGTATCAATATTAGAAGGGAGGTGAATAATTTGTAACAGGGCAGCAATTATATGCCCATTAGCTATGGGAGTACCCTCAGAAGTTAAGAATCTATGGAATTTCTAAATTGTGCCAACAGCACTGCAGATTCCAAAAGCACATCTGGAGTCCATGTAAATAGTGGCAGCATTCCCTTTCACCAAGGTGCAAGCTCTCATAAGAGCTATGAGTTCAGCAGCTTGGGATGATTTTACAGTGGGCCAAAAATATGCTGGAAGTGTTTTATGTGGGGAAACTATGGCATAACTGGTTATTATGTTTCCCTGGAAATTTCAATTACAGGAGCCATCAAAAAATAGAAGTAAGTCTGGGTTGTACAAAGGGATGTCTAAAAGGTCCTCTCATGGCTTTGAGACCATTTTTATAGTTGCAAGGCAATCGTGTAGAATAAAGGGGGGGCTCTCCACCATCAGGGAGGGTTAATAAAGAAGTTGAGTTTAAGGTGTTATAATAACGTAAAATTATAGAAGGTTTGGTCAATAAAGCCTGCTCATAGATGCCCTGTAGAGGATTTGTTGTATCTTGTGAATTTGTAAGAGAGCAGATACTTGTATTTTGTGAACTTTTGAACTTTTTGTATCTTGTGAAGTTGTTGTTTCTTGTAAACTTGTTATATCTTGTGGACTTGTTAAGAATGCAGACACAGCATGGGGAACATAGAGGTGACTGGGGAAGCCTACTGTGGGAGCACTTTATCAATCAAGGTGGCAGCTGTGGTCATCACACACAGGCATGAGGGCATACCTGATATCATAGTTTGATTGACATAAGAAATATGCTAAAGGAGGTATCTGACAGGCAAAAGGCTATCCTAGAATACCCGCAGCATTACCATTATTTTCAGGGCAATATAGGTGAAAAGGTTTGTCAAAATTAGGTAAACTGAGGGCTGGGGTGTGGACAATGTTAATTTTAGGGTTTCAAATGCAGTTAATGCCTCTGAAGACCCAAAAAAAAACAGGCTCTGGAGAGGTATCTGGGAATAGGGCATATAGACATTTAGCAAGGGCGGCAAAATTAGGAATCCATTGGCAGCAGTAGCCAGCTGTCCCTAGAAATCTACATAATTGTTTTGAATATAAGAATGAATAAAATTGACTCAAGATGCTTTGGACTGAGTTTTTGAATGTCTTGAGATATCTCATGTTCTGAATAGGTACAGTTGTTTATACCCATTGAAGTTTGGATGAGGAGGCTACATGACTTCATTCAGCTAGTGCCTTAGGAGAATGAGGGAGTCTACAAGAGCTTGCTGCTTAGTTTGGTTCAAGGTAAAAGGACATCAACATCCTGAATAAAGGTGGAGCTTCGGGCAAAGGCTACAAAATCCAAGTTGGTTTTAAGGATTTGGGAAAATATTGAGGGAGACTTGCTATATCCCTGAATTACACAACTCCAGGCTGTCTCCCTTTAAGCATAAATGAAAGAGAAACTGTGAGTTAGGATGCAATTGGAAAAGAAAGGTGAGCAGAGATTAATTACTGTAAACCAGACTGCATCAGTAGGACTTGAGGTAAGAATAGTAGTTGGATTAGGAACTATGGGGTGGCAAGGAATTATGAAAGTTTATAGCTCTTACATCTTATATGAATCAATAGATTTGGTTCCTATCTGAATTAAATTTCCCTTCTTTCTTTACTGGCAAGTTTGGAGTGCTACAGACAAGTCTACCTTGGTGTAAAACAGTCTATTATATATTCAACTAGAGGCCTGGTGCACAAAAATTCGTGCAGTCAGGGAGGTCCCTAAGCCCAGCCTGCACCCTCTCACAGTCCAGGAGCCCTCAGGGGATGTCCATCTGCTAGCTTAGGCCCACTCCCTGAGGGATCGGGCCTCAGATGGCAGTCAGACATCCCTCTGGCAGCCAGGGAGCCCTCAGGGGATGTCCAACTGACGGCTTAGGCTTGCTCCCCACAGGTCTAAGCTGTAGTTGGATATCCTTAGTGCTGCCAAGGAGGTGGGAGAGGCTCCCGCCACTGACGCTGCACTCACAGCAGTCAGCCGGGCTTGTGGCTGAGCAGAGCTCCCCCTGTGGGAGTGCACTGACCACCAGGGGGCAGCTCCTACATTGAGCATCTGCCCCTTGGTGGTCAGTGCACATCATAGCAACTGGTCGTTCCTGGTAGTTCTGCCGTTAGGGTCAATTTGCATATTACCCTTTTATTATATAGGATTCCTTGCTCTGTATCTCAGGAAAGAGTATTAGACAGCTATGGGAAAGGTTTCTTCCTTTTTCTTTTCCAAGCAATGCATTCAGTAACAATCCAACTTCATTTGCATGTAAAGGAATTTAAATTGAGATGAGTTTCCAGTAAAGAAAGTAGAAAATTTGGGGTTTGGTCTGAGTGCTACCAGGTCAAACTTCCTGTGCCAGATGCTTCAAAAGGTCAGAATTTGGAGTAAGGAAAGGTTTATTGATTGAGAAGGCACCAACTGAGAAAATGGGAGCCCTACTGGTACCTTGAATCTATCTTAAGAAAGTAGTAAGTTCAGGCTTCTTTTATATTAAGGAAAGGGGAAATCAGAGGGGCTGTTTTTATAAAACTCAAGCCACAAGCAGAATTTCTCTAATGATTAGCATATGTGTCTATATACAAGACTAAGCAGAAGCTATTAACCTGAAGGCCATGGGAACAAAGCAGACTTTGACAAAATGGAGTCAAAGAGAAACCAAGCATTTCACTGTTACATGGAGGCAGAGAAAAAAAAAGCCTTTCTCATTACATTTTACAGTGGCATAAAATTTACATAACAAATCTCTACTAAAATGGTTTGCTGGTGATGAGTTGGAAACTAGGAAGGCAAGATGGGTGCTGAGAGGGTCTATGGAAATTGAGGTTGGTTGAGATATTGTCAGTGAAATAGGTTGCCCAGAGACTTACAGCTAGCACAGAGTTAGAGGTGACAAGTAGGGATAAATCCTCTAGTCAGGTGGTAGTGAAAGGGGCACCAATGTCATTAAGAAATCCAGTTCCTAGAGTATTATGCTAAGTGAAATAAGCCAGTCACAGAAAGACAAGTATCATGATCTCACACTTATACGTGGAATCTAATGAACAAAATAAACTGACAAGCAAAATAGATCCAGAGACATTGAAGCATGTCACAGACTGACGTATTTTAGAGGGAAGGGTGAATAATCCAGATGTGAAGAAAATGGTGTGGTGAAGGTCTGGGGAGGGGGCGCAAGTGGGGTGGAGGGGGTGAATGGGGTGAAAAAGGGGACATCTGTAATACTTTCAACAATAAAGATAAATATATATATAAAAAAACCCAGCTCCTGATGCTCTATTTTAAGTTTAATGTTGGGATCTGCAGTACTACTGAAGATCAATCAGCCGATCCAGGCATTTGATGTGAAATTGTCCCATAGGAGGAGAAAAACGATCCTTCTGGGAAATGATGGGTCTAGGGCAGCCATGGGCAAACTACGGCCCGCAGGCCGGATCCGGCCCGTTTGAAATGAATAAAACTAAAAAAAAAAAAAAGACCGTACCCTTTTATGTAATGATGTTTACTTTGAATTTATATTAGTTCACACAAACACTCCATCCATGCTTTTGTTCCGGCCCTCCGGGTCCAGTTTAAGAACCCATTGTGGCCCTCGAGTCAAAAAGTTTGCCCACCCCTGGTCTAGGGAGTTTTTTTCTTAAACTTTTCTTTCTCTTAAATAGGACAACTTTTCTTCCAATGTCCCAATCAGCAAATATCTAGAGGCAAATAGGGAAGAATCTGAATGGACTTTAAGTTATACTCACTATCATGTTTTGGTTTTTCTAATTCACCTTGCCAAGCAAGAATTGTTGCTTTTACCCCCTTTCCCTCCTATACTCTTGCAAGCTATTTTCAAAGAATTAGGTAGCTGCTTCCACTGCAACATTCCAAAGTTGGCTGGACCACTCAACCACACTATCTTGAATTTACTTTTTTATAATCAGGGAGAAAATTTCCCACTAAAGTGGAAATTAAAAGATCTCTATGTTCTGGAGCTTCGGGGTTTAGTGCAGTATGCCTTTGCAAAGTCTCTATAAAGCATTCAACAAAAGCCTTTGGATGCTCTCCTTCATTCTGAGTGCATATTCAATCAATCTTAGACCAATTTATATCAGGGGGAAAACCTCTACTCTTGCTATTATCAGAGTTCTTGAATATCAGCCTCCAGCTGAGCCATTTCTTGGTCATTTGTAGGAAGGCCTGGGAGAAATTCTGGCCATCTTTTTTTTTTATCGGGGGGGGGGGGTGTTCTCTAGGGGGCCACCCTGGTTTGTCTGGTAACTAGAGTATAATCATACATAGGAAGAACACCCCTTAACAGCTGATCTGGTTTCCTTGAGTGGGGTTGTAAATGGCCACTAGTCTTTCTAACTCTTCTCTAAATTTGATAGGGTATTCTGAAAGTGGAGATAAAAGGGCTTTGCAATTTAGAAGATCTGCTGTTGTCTAGTGACATAAATTCTTTGGGGTAGGAGTCCAGGATACATTCACAAATGATATTTCATAGAAAGGCCTGAAGCTGGCAGCGCCTAATTGCAGGGCTCTGGAGAACAGGAGGAGTTGTAAGGAACAGAAAACTGGGCCCTACTGCTCAACTTGGGTGCTTCTGCTAAATTCACTTCCTGGCTTTTAAGATTTACATAAGTACCCTGTATACCCTGGGCCTAGTGATCAGGCCAGAGTGCTCTCTGTAAATCTTGTGAGGAAGGGGGAGTCAAAACAGGCAGCTGGGAGTTTAAGGGATTTTCTGGGGAATTTGGAGGAGTTTTTGGATCTAAGGAATTTGCTGAAGTGATGAGGTTGGATTTTGAAAGGGAGGGTTTAGACTAGAGGCCCAGAGATTTAAAAGCTTTTCTGGAGGGTCAGGGATAGGGAGTTGGGGATAAGGGGGTGAAAAAAGAGGGTGGAGAAGGTGAATTTACTTTAGATGTGGATTTCAATTTTTGTTCTAATGCTATTTCTGTTCTTTCATCTTATTTTTTTAAAATATATTTTATTGATATTTTACAGAGAGGAAGGGAGAGAGATAGTTAGAAACATCGATGAGAGAGAAACATCGATCAGCTGCCTCCTGCACATCTCCCACTGGGGATGTGCCCGAAACCCAGGTACATGCCCCCGACCGGAATCGAACCTGGGACCTTTCAGTCCGCAGGCTGACGCTCTATCCACTGAGCCAAACCGGTTTCTCTTTCATCTTATTGAGGAAGTCCCCAAGGCTGGCTGTTATACTCCTTTTTGTATTCTTTTCAATTTGATCTTCTCGTAGGTAGCAATAAGACCGTTGTTTAAGATGAGAGCTCTCTAAAATTTTTCAAATATAAAACTTTTTCCAATTCAAAAGCTCCATCATCTGGTCATTGATGAGTAGGATCCTAAATGGTATATTTATCCCAATAGCAATTCAATTCGATAGGTCTTTTCATGGAAAAACCCAGAGGTAACTTTTGAGCCTTAGAATAAATCTTTACCAGGAATTCAAGAGGCATCCCTGAAGTGGGTGCAGAAGATGCAGGCCCCAAGATCGAAAAAGTTCACTCCCAGAGTCAGTCTGAGAAAGCAAGTAACTTCATTATCACAGGTAGGAAGAATGGTCTAGTGAAAATCATGTCTCCAGGGTCCCACTCATCTGGGACACCAACAGCTGATACGGGAATGGACTTCCAGTAATAACAAGACATGAAGGTTGAGACAACAAAGGTCCCTTATGGACCAGGACACCCTATGATAAACTCCCCTGAGAGCTAATCAGACAAAGAGAACTCTGCTTATCAGACCCACAGCATATCTGGCTGTCCTCCAGATGCATGCTAGTTGGCAGAAACCAGGAAGAGTGTGCTCACTGATCATAAAGCTAAGCTGTCAGTGCATAAAACACAACGAGAAGAAAGCCCTCATCCAGTTTTTCTTTTTTTATGTACCCATTAACAGCTGTAGCTAAACCTTGGGTTTCTGTGAGCCAAATTAATACCTAAGTGGGAAGCACGTACTGCTGGTTTGCAGATGAGGTGGTGTTTGGCAGTGTACCTTATTGCACGAAAATTTTCTTGTGGTTGGTGATTGACCTATTACCAATCTAATGGGTTCCATGATCAACTTATCTGAAAACAGGAGTCTTAGAGTTAGCTGGCAAGCACTCTAACAGCTTTTAAGTACTCCAGCTATGCCCAGCAATTTTGCAGCTTTTAGCTTCTGAGATTCCCATTAGCAATAGTTTTCACCTCATGTGCACATTAACCCACAGCAGTGTTTGTCTAAACAGACACCAGTCTGGTGAGAACCGTGAACTCACCAGTTTATGAGGCCGGCTGGAATGACAGGCATATGGTTTTCCCCCTTCTGACAAGTAACACAAAATATGATGCCAAGGAAAAACATTGACCATCTCTGGGAGGAAAAGGACCAATAGAAAACAAGAATACTCATAACACATCTTTACCAGAATCTCTACACCCAGGAACTAGTTCACACAAATATTATCTCCTGCTAATCTAATTTAGAAAAAGAAAGGGACTCTCACCACTCTTGATTCCACCAGACCCTGCAGGCAGAGATCTGGGAGACTGATGTGGTAAGAATTCTTACCTTCTGCCAGCTTTTGTCAGAGGTCATTGGATCTCTCAGCTGCTGCACCCTTGGAGCAAGAAGTATCCAGATAGAGGAGTTTATCCTGCCGACTACACCAGCAGTAGGGGAGAAACATTTTCCTTCTATCCTTGTAGGTTCTTTGACTGGTCTAATAATTAATAGAAGACAGGTTAACAAGAGAAAACCAAATTTAGTATGTGCACACAGGGGTCCCCCCAAAGACAATGAAACTGAAGGGCAAGTTGGGCAGTTGAGGCTTATATACTATCCTGATCTGAGGAATAGAGCTTCAAAGGGGAGGAGGGTAATTCCCAGGATAAGAAGAGCAGGTGTTTAATAATTAGATGTTTGCCCTGCCATACAGATAGGTCATTCAGATAAAGTTATTTCTGGTACTAGCTCTTTTTCTCGGCCAGAGCCCCTATCTAAATTCTTTTAAGTGATTAAGGGTGAAGTAAAAGTTGTTTGTCTCTTTGTTTTTAAGTCTGTTGGGTCTTGATTATTGTCAGCTCAAAACAATTCACATGTCAAAGTGGCTCATTCTAAACCCCTTCAGTGCAAAAGCAATTCTGACTCAAATGGCGCTACCAATAAATATCACACTTGCCATCTAAGTGTTTTTAACAATGTTTTGTACTTGTAAAAGGAGTGATTTTTTTAAATTAAAAAAATTTAAACTAATCTTCTTCAAAATGGAGGCATTGTGAATATTATCAATGGCATTAAAATAATGTAATTATACACTACAAAGCTAAGGGAAGCTCAATAAATTATAACTCATATGTGCATTTGGATAATTCTGACCTAAATTGTTGGGTTTTTTAAAACTAATTTTCTTCCAGATGTCTCTTTCTATACAAAGTGGGCCCCAGTTAAAGATAGAATAAGTTTTAAAACATATAGAATTTTATAATGGAAAAAGAGCTTTGAGAATGGTTTGGTCCAAACCTGATATTTGGGAGACAAAAAAAACTTACCAGTAGCTCTAGAAAGGTTAGCTATTTGTCCCACAATACACAATGAGGAATTAGCAGAGCAGGACTAAAGAAGTAGTTTTTCTGAGTCACATTATATTGCCTATCAAGGTTCTGTGGGAGAAGGAGGTAGTAGGATATTTTATTTTCATTTTCTAATTGTCAAAATATACATAGAACATCTTAAAATATATAAACTAGGCTAAGAGGTTTAAATTTGGGATGATAATTTTGCTACCACTTGAAACACCTTGCCTCAAATAAATGGGAGGTGAAAATAAATGCCCCAAACAATGAAACTGGGCAAGCAACCAAGTAAGCTTGTTCCCTTTCGTATCTCTTGTGTTTTATTATGTGGCATTAAAAATATACATTTCATAATCAATTCACAAATCTTCACAAAGACATGAAAAGGTATTTCATGAGCAACATGCTTCACATGTTCTCATCTGTTTAAAGCTACTATCTTTGCTTCTTTTGTCTTTCCACTACATTGGACACGGTGCCTCTCCTCCCTTGCCCCAGGCCTTTATTTTCCATTTAGGATTGCAGGTTCATGAGTTCCATTATTTAAGCTCAGACAGAGACAGGAGATGTAATTGAGGTCCTTCCTAAAGAGTAGAACTCAGAAAACTGTGTATTTTCTTTCTCTTTCTTCCTCTCTCCCCTCACCCCTCTCTCTCTCTCTCTCTCTCTCTCTCTTTCTTTCTTTCTTTCTTTTTTTTGTCATCTTTCTCATGCAGAGAATAGGAATAGTTTATAGCTGATCCCCCTGTGCTCACACACTCTGATACACAGCTGGTGAATTGTTTAGCACTCGGCATGAAGCCTGACCTATACCAACACCCGGAGCTGGGGCCAGGGCACATAGCTTCTGTCACAGCTGCATGCAGAACATGCACAAAGCTGAATTTGAAAAGTGAGAAATAGGAAAAAAATGTCTAAGTATCAGATATTCAAATTCCTTTCTGTCGATTCACTTTCATTACATATGGGAAATCTTAACATTCTCATTAGCCACTTAACTACAACTTCTAATTCATTACTCAGGGTATTTTGCTGTCTTCCACTTGGAATAAAAAAATGAAACATCACAATAAACCTGTTGTCAGAGGTTTTTATTCTATTTGTTGACAACACAAGTAAACAAGCACACAAATTCACATTCTTTAGACTACCGGAGAGTGATTATTGTTCAGAATGATAATCCAAAAATGTACCACATGTTCAAGCATAAAAAAGCTTAATTTTTGCTTTTTATTAATTCAATTGAATTTGGTTTTATTAATTCAATAGAGTAAAATAATATCCTTTAGAATATTTTTATAACAAAAATTTGAACAAATATGAATTTAGTTCCATTTCATCAAAAAATCAATTTGGTCAAGACATCCTATTCCCTGAGCATTTTGGTTCAGGTTTCATAATTTAGTATCTATCCCTGAAGCCACCTTTCAGACATGGTATTTAAAAAACTATATTCCTCTATAATCTAAAGAAATATATATATTTTAAATAGAAAAAATATTTTTCAGTTCTGCCATATTTTTTTTACTACAATATCAAATATCTTATGTTTTCTTGGTAAAAGAAGGCATTCAGTAAGGGATCTACATCCCTCATTAAAGTGACTCTTTCATTTTCTGGATTGAATCCTGTCTGTTGTTCTCCTGTATTCAGATATTCAGATAAATCAGTGAAATATTGTCAATGTAAGAAATATTCAAACCTGTAGAGAATTTTTTGTGAGTTTATTTGTGCCAAACTGACGACAATTGCCGGGAAGCAAAATATCAACAGACTGAGACAATGCTCTGGAAAAATAGCAGTTTTGCATCTTATTTTATACATTACAATAAAAAGATAGGACATAAGTGGGTTACATGAAATCCATTGGTAATAGATTAGGGAGGTGGGAGAAAGCAAAGCGGGGGTGGGGGAGGCTTGGGATTGGATAGAACATAAAATGATAGACACATCCTTCTTTTACATAGGTGGGTACAGGATAGTTAACAGTCAACAGTTAGCACAATAACAATGAGGGGATTTGCGGTCTCAGCTCTGTTGCGGTGCTTGTGCTTTGAGGGGTCTGGAAAAAGGAAATTACTTTGACATTCTCAAGGTATGTTATTGTAGATGCAAAAAGACAATAGACAGGCTTAATTAAGGTAACGATTGACTTTTTTCAAGGGCGATCCTAAACTGATTTTAATTTATAAGTTTTAATTTCAGACCAACCTTGCGGTTACTTTAGGTCTCTGAGTTTGTATGGTCATCACCCAGGCCTCCTCTGGGTTTGTCAGGTTTAGTATGTGGCCCCTTTTTGTCCATAGTATCACTAGCTGTGTTCTTAGGCATATTCATAAACTGAAATTTTCTTAAAAATATATGATCTCGCCTGGCCGGCATGGCTCAGTGGTTGAGCATTGACCTATGAACCAGGGGGTCACAGTTTAATTCCCAGTCTGGGCACATGCCCAGGTTGCAGGCTCCATCCCCAGTATGGGCTGTGCAGGAAGCATCTGATCAATGATTCTCTCTCATCATTGATGTTTCTATCTCTCTCATACTCCCTTCCTCTCTGAAATAAAAATATATTTTAAAAAAAGAATGTATGATCTCTGTTTAGAACCTTCTGCAAATGAATAGGAAGGAACATTTTGTAGTTCTCTACTGTTATATAAAACTAGAGGCTGGGTACATGGATTCGTGCACTGGTGGGGTCCCTCAGTTTGGCCTGCACCCTCTCACCATCCTGGACCTCTCGGGGGATGTCAGATTGTCGGTTTCGGCTCGATCCCTGCAGGCCAGGCCGAGGGACCCCACTGGTGCATGAATCCGTGCACCAGGCTTCTAGTATGCATATTAAGATCTTTGGTTAATCTTTTCCTGCCCTCTCCCCTACCCCCTTCCCTCTGAGATTCATCAGTCTGTTGTGTGTGTCATAGCTACGGGTCAAATGGTCAAATGGTCGAATGGCTGGATGGTCGCTTAGGCTTTTATATATATAGATACTACATAATAATCACAATGATTTTCTTTCATTAAACATTTCACTGAAAATCCATTCATGCTAAGTACTTTGTTAAGTAGCATTCACCATTGGTCTTATTTTTTATATGAAAGTGTTTGCCATGATTACAGCCTCACATAGCAAACTGGTGTTTTAAAACAGATGCAACATCCTCTGGTTTTTATATTTCACAACACAAAAAGAGGTAAAAAAACAAAAGAAATTGCAACACCTTTAAAAGATATCAAATCAATACTTTCACCTTTAGCTTATTCTTTGGTTTTGGTAAGATCTTGTTTTTCAGATGTCACTATTTGTGACTCATAATTTTATAGTAGCATGTGTAATGCTATTCGTGCACATACTCTGGTAATAGTACTACCTGACTAGTAAATGAGGATACTATCACTAGTGTGGTAGGCAGTTAGACAGACATGAGCAGAGCAAGGACTATGGGCCAGGTATAAAAGGGCACCTGGATGGAAAGCCACGGGTGCCTAGCAATGGACAATCAGTTGTAGGGCGGGACCTTGCCCCCAGGGAGACTTTTCCTCCCCTATCATATCCCTGGTCATGAGGCTTGGACCCCTGACCTTTCCTCCCTAGAGATAACATCTAGGCCTCAGTTGTATTCAGCTCCAGGTCCCGATAAGCAACGAAACTGGTCACAGCTGACGTCAGGAGAAGCTACATGGAATAATGACCCTGCCTGGTGCTGGCCAATCAGCGAAGACCCCAACCCTGAAAGGATACGCCTGGAAAACTGATGAATATTCTATTAAGATCATTCTCTGGGACCTCCCCTAAAATCTCCAACCTTAAAACCCTTATTATAGAGGACCCAGTGTGCTCTCCTTCCTGGGAGCATGCCCATGCCTTTCCCTTTCCCCTTCCCTCTTCCCCTCACCTCCCCCATCCACAAGCACCATTAGCTCCCTCACTCCAAACTCCAAGGGCCCTTCCTTTACTTCTAGAACAGTGGTTCTCAACCTTGGCTGCACATTAGAATCACCTGGGAATCTTTTTAAAATCCTGATTTCTGGGCCTCATCCTTCGGAAATTCTGTTTCTTCGTTATGGGGTGGAGCCACAAAATTAGTAACAAAGAAACAGAATTTCCGGAGGATGAGGCCCAGAAATCAAGATTCT